AACATTAGTCTATAAGATTAGCAGGGCCAGAAGGGAATGGGTCCAAAGACACCGAATACTGATAGGGAAAAGGGACAGAATGGGATGGTGCATGGAAGAAAGTTTGCCCACACTGTCGTCGAAAAACCTTAGGTATTTTAAGGACAACACAAAGGCTCTACACACCTATCCATAGCACCTTCCAGACGACAGCAGGTGAGGGCAGGTGAGAAGGAATGAGAGAGCAACATCATTGACTCTAGGAATGTGTCCAGAGCTCAGAATTCCTGCAGGAGAACTTATTTCTTGAGCATCTGCTCTGTGATAGGTGTGGACGTGGAACCTCAATCTTGTGAGATGAAATATTCGTTTCTCCCACTGTACAGGTGATGAGAACTGAGGCTTAATTTTCCATTTCCCTGTCTGTATAAAGTCCATGTTTTTTCTACTAAGCGATGTTAGATGATATCAATTGGTGAGGAATTTAAAAAAATATATATACCGTATTTGCCGGCGTATAAGACGACTTTTTGGCCCTGAAAAATATGCCTCCAAGTGGGGGGTCGTCTTATACGCCAGGTACACTTCAGATAGACTGCCCATAGTGCTTGCCCCATGCCATAGTGNATTTGTAGCTTATGAAACACTGACTACTTAAAAGAAATGCACATTATCCTTAACATGGATGTTAGTGACTTAGGAACATGCTCTCTCAGGTATTTATTTCATTTACACATGTCCACTGGGCCAACAGATGCAATGAGTCGAAAGAAAAATAACTCTGAAGACATACGAAAAAAAATTTGCAAGCCTGGTCTGCATATGGGTTTCCTCCCTCAATTATTTAGGAAAAAACTTGGTGTGTTTGACTTTATATCTCCCGCAGGATCACATTGTTATGTGTCCTGTCTGATGTCAACATTACCAGGATTCAAAACATATTCTGTGCCAAGCTCCTGTTGTTGGAAGAGGAAGGGGGAGGGAAGGTTCAGGGCTATGAGCTGGAGACTTTGGTTTGAAACAAAGGCTCTGCCTTAAATACTCCATGTAACCTTGGGCAAGTGACTGAACCTCGGTATCTCCCAGGGTTTGGGGGGACAATGAGGCAATGCATGCAAAGTGCTTAGCTATGACCCCAGCACACAGTAGCTTTCACAGGTAGCCATTAACAGAGATGGAAAAATCGCTACGTAAGAACCTCTCCGTTAGGCAATGCACTTACCTCAAATCTCTAGCCAAACTATAAATCCAGTAAAACCTTTCCATTCCTTGGAATTGTACAAAGTTAATCTATTCAAGATTTCAAGTCCAGATACAACTGATTTATGAGAAACTGGAAAAATCATCCAGGTTTCTGCCAATTTTGTTCACTGAGAATGTTTGAGTATCTTCAAGAGCTCTAAAAACATTCAATACTTTCAACCCCGGAGCAAACCAAGAAAAAAACAGATACACTATCTAAATGAAGCTGTTGGAATGAGAAATAATTAAAGATACTCCCTAGCCATTACACTTTGGCTATATACATAAGAAAACAGGAATAGAATAGATAAGAATACCAAACTCAGACGACAGATATCATTTCCTCCATGATTTTCTTAGTGTTTGCAAATTTTTGCAAGTGATTATTTGAGATCAAATTTGGTATACTCTCTAGGCTTAATGACAGCTCCCGAAGGTTCTAATATTATAATTTATGCCTATGAATCAATGTACTCTACCTGTACAGGATGTTTAGAGAAGCAAAGAAACGGAATATATTTGCCTATTACCTCCATATCCAAGGTTTGTAGGCTATGAGATGAGATCACAGAGCAAGCCCTTGTAAAATGAACTGGTGCAAACCAGTATGTGTCACAGAAAAGGGATGGAGGAGAAAAAGAGGAAGACAGAGAAAGGCTGGAGGGAGTGTCAAGGAGAGGCAGTCACATTCCCTCAGGCTGAGAGTGGTGAGCCTCCCTCAACATGACTGGGAAAACATGACAAATGGGTAACCCTCTCTATGTGGAAGCCCAGATTCCCAGAAGTTAGAGAAGACAGGACTACTTTCTTAAGTATTTTCTAGTATTTTAGTTTGGTCAAGTGACCAAGTATCAACCTCCTTTCAAAGAATATTTTACAGCACACTTATCTTTCTACTTACAATCGCCCTATGCTCCATATCCTACTAATTTTATGCTTACATGCCAGTGAGCCAAAGTTCAGCCTTATGTACATAACTTCCTTCTTTTTGTTCATAATGCTCCTCACCTACCAAGGCAGGGTTCAGATGTTTAACGCCTTGAGTATTCACACCACTGACTTCGATTCACTGCCCTTCCTCCCCTCTTTCCTGCACTCCATCCACACCCACTATTCTGTGTCATCGCCTTGGGGCAGTTCCACTAGTGGCTCAAGAGAGTTCACCACCTTCTTGTTCTCTGATGTGATATCACATGGCCAAATGCAACTGTTTCCCTGACCCTATTCAATCCCTGCCTTTGAAAAATTGCTCTAACACACTGCAAACTTAAACCCTACGTGCTATCACTTTTACTGTAATTCTTCTTCTAAATATCTACATACCAGATAGTTTCCCTTAGCTGGTTCATCGGACATTTCTTCCAGCCTGACTCTCACAAGGACCAGTTCCTTCCATATTTCAAACTTATCTGAGTTGATGGCTATAATTTCTATGTTTCCACTGAAGCTAGTTGGAAGAGATTTATACATTTTTATATAATGAAGATAAAAATTTACCTTCAGAGTTTACACAGAACAATAATTTATTCAGCATTCCAACCTGTCATAAACTCCTTGGCTTATGTTCCCAATCACATAAAATAACATTTTAGCAACAACCAACCAGGCGTCCATGAACTGAGCCAGCCATCAAAAGAGCCAAGGAAACAACTAGACAGATCTACAGAATGTGGCTGATACTTGATTGGGTAGACTCTAACTAGGGACGACAATGGACCCATTAGCACCGGTCAAGAGTCCAAAGGCACAACTTGGCTGAATAAGCATTGAGGTCATCTGCTTGTAGAAAAATCTCATCTACTGAGGCCAGCTTAGTATCTTTTTGCTAAATTTAGCCAGAACCAAACACAAATTACCTTAAAATGGACAACAAAGAAAAAACTACAGATTATTTAAATAGACACTAGTGATTCTTCTTCATTGCTGAGGAATTAATGTTGGTGCCAGGACAAAAATTAGGCCCACGAGACTCATCTGTAACCCACTTGGTTTGGAATTGTGAAGAACAGTAAACAGAAGAAATGGGGGTATGGTAATTTTGAATCACAATTATATGCAAACTCCTCCAAGACTGACTACCAATTCCATGGACCCCCATTCTCTAAGGACCTGAGTTTCTGAAATTCTGATCTGACCTGAATGTTAACAGCAGCAAAAAATAACTCAACTATAGAAATTTTAGTTGGCTTTCCCCAAGCTATACTTGTATTCATTTTCTAGGTTTTTTATTATTAAAATTAAAGTTCAATGATCTTTTTCATTGTAAATTTAATGTGGCAATGACAAAAAAATTTAAACAGCAAAAGGGCTGAAGGAAGGAAATAATTCCCATGGTTAAATTTTCCATGTAAAACTTGTTTTTTTGCTAACTTTTATTTTCTTCCTGTTTTTGAACTATGTATAGTTTTGGGTGTTATTTTATATCAGTGCTGTCTAAAAGAACTTTGAGATAATAGAAAATCATTTTTGTACCTATGCTGTCCTATTTAGAAGACACTAGCTACATGTGGCTACTGAGCACCGAAATGGTGGTTAATGCAACTGAGGAAATGATTTTTAAATTTTATTTAATTTTAATTAAAATGTAAATAGTCACATGGGGCCTGTGGCGACTACTGTACTCGTGCAGTTTTAAAGGATTGTGATTATCTTGTATATAACATTTTATATCCTGTATTTTGCTCAACATTACATCCTAAGATTTTTCTGTTTTAAAATTCATAAATATTTTGAATTGCTTCTTAAAGCTATAGTGAACGAAACTAAATCCCTATTGTAAGATAGCTTCTACACTAGTATAAACAGCACTATTGTTTACAACTTTGTGTATAAAGATTTTTCTAATTAAAATTTTCTTTATAACAGTATATCAAAGCACGCTGCAAAACTCAAGGCTCTTGATAACTCACTACCAAATAGCTGTGTAGAGGAGGTGCACTAACGTGTGCATCCTATAGTAATGTGTTAATTTGCTCTTTGTAACTCCTCCCTCTCAAGAAGAGAGTTCTATCCTTTCAAAATCTATTTCATGTCACATTACATGTGGCATGAAATAACACATAGAGTGAAGAAAAATGATAGCTCACTGTCTTGGTTTGAATTTTTTTAAGTATCAGTGAGGCTGAACATAGACTTGCTACCCTGTACTATTTTGTCTTTTGTGAATTATCCGCTCATGATTTTGCCCATGAAACTTGTCTGCTCATGGCATGGCTCTTAATGTTTACTTATAGATTTGTATGAACTCTTTATATACTGAAATTATTAACCATTATTCTAGTTTTTCTTTTTGTCATTTTCAATTTTGGGAATTTCAAAGAAGTTGACTGGAGTGTGTTTGAAATCAGATTAAATCACTTCAATATTTTTTAACTAAGTGAACAGTTCTACTTTATTACAAAAATCAAATTTCTGTTTCCCAATGGGTATTTTCCTTAAAGCCACCTTGATTTGTACTAGCTAGCTTGGTAAACATAAGGCATAGCTCAACCTGAACAAGTATTCTGCAAATTGTACTACAACTGTTAGCAAGAAAGAGTGTTTGAATGTCAGCTTCTTTTGTTATGGTTGTCCACTCTCTGATTGCACAATTGATGAATCATGACTTGGCCAAATTGCTGAAGACTTTAGATAAAGAGATACAGAACTAAGCTGTGGAGATATAGAGGTAAAGGATTAAAGAGAAAACAGGCTTGGATGACACAACTGAGTTTGGAAACCCTGGATAGCCTGAAAAGGTCCAAGGAAGATTTATCTATCTACACAAACCAATCACATACTCATCAGTACATCACACTGAATCTGAGCAAATTCTGCCAGGAAAGTGCAAGTCTGGGGAAAATAGGGGTCAAATGAAATAAACTAAGGCAAATACAGTGATATACTTCCTTACTGCCTCAAAACATTTTTTTTATGGATGGGTCAGTTTGGCCCAGAAACATGTGTTTGTCTAATCAGTGTCAGGATCAGAATTTGGTTTGCCTGTGTCCAAAGAGGTCATTTCAAAGGACTTGTATGGGTTGTATTTGGGGGCCCTGTTCAATGGGGTATCACTTGACCTGACCCATCCGTGATCACATATAGAAGTTATCATTAACTCTTGGTTCCTAAATCTTTCTTTTTCTTCTGCCTTCCAAAGGCTGCAGGCATATGGCTAGAACATCCACTGAGAATGATAAGACAATAGGTAAAAATGGAGAATTAAGATAGGGAATCAGAGTAAGTCTGGAACTGAAGGATGGCAATAAAAAGATAAATTGATCAAAGGACAAGGAAATTAAGCAGAAAAGAGGTGTAACCTGTTGGCTTGAAAGTTTGCTTATCAGGAATATACAAAATATTCTGAAAATAAGTCGCTTGTAAAATGAGCTTGGTGCATTATACTCCCAAAGCTATTTTACACTTTTAAGCATAATGATTTGTCATATAATTAATAGGGTTTTTTTAAAGTCTTATTTTCAAGAACAATACGTAATGAAACTTTTTAGACTCTGACCTGTATTTTTAGCTATATGAATGTTATATTTATCTTACCTAAAATTGAATAATATTAATGATAACTAACATTTGTTTAGTGTGAATATTCACCAGATTGTTTGAAGCACTTTAGTACATAAAAGAAGCTGGCAAGCTTTTCTGTAAAGGACCAGACAATAAATATTTTAGGCTTTGTAGGCTACACTATCTCTGTTGTAATTATTCAACTCTGCTGATGTAGCAGGAAAGCAATTAAGGGCAACACATAAATTAATGAGCGTGGCTGTGTTTCA